ATGGAGCATTATAAGCTTATCCATACATTCTAGAATGGTGTGTGAAACCCTGAGACTGCTGCAGTGTGCCCTGGCTTAGCCATGTTAGATGGTGAGTGGCTGTGAGTGCTCCCATTCTAATATTTACAACTAAAGAAATAAATAGATGCATGTTGGTAAGCACTCAAGTTCTACACTTTTGCTGAGGGAAAGATACTCTTATCTCCACTAGAGCTGAAAGAAAACATATCAAACAACCCTGTTAATAATTTGAAGCAACCTTGTCTCCAAAAGGGTTTAAAACTGTGCTGAAGTCACTGACTCTACTCCCCATTCATAATTCTTTATACTGAAAATGAAGAAAATTAATGATTTAGAATTGCTTTATTTCAATCTCATGTCTGAAAAGCACCAAACTGAAATATGAAGCAGGTACCAAAAATGAAACAAATGGAAAAAAATCCCATGTCAGCAAAGGGTACATGAACACAATCCTCTGAAACACGCAAAACAGATTGCCTACAGTAGTCCAAGTTTCTAACAACTTGATCTTAAAATGCCATCGTATAATACTGTTATACTCACAAAATATTCCTTTACACAGAGCAAGCAGCAGCTGCCAGAGTAGGACAATTTTGCCCCTAAATGTAAATACACAAATAGCCATAACCAAGAAACTATAACCTCTTTTGCTGGTTAGAACTAGTATTCCTACTTGTCACAGATAAGTATTATCCTTAGAACCAGTGGCTGGCCCCTTCAGAGAATACACTAACAACTCAAAATATAGTTTCAGTTGGCCTGAAACTAAAAATTCATCTTGAAGCAGCCAAACAGTTCTGTACTAGATCCATAATCCACCTAGGAGAAACTGTTCTCACCCATTTATTTTTTCTGTTCCAATGATTATTTTTGTTCAAGCCAGTTTGAAGCCCTTGTAACAGCACAAGTCCACACAGCTATGAAGTCCATCTCACTATCCTTTAAGACCTCGTTAGCACCTATGCAGTACAGCAGCACTGTACTCTGCTTTTACATTTACACAAAATTCAACAGGGCATCTCAGCAACTCAAAGGAGAATCAAATGTTCCACAGATATTGTTAGAGGAATTTTTTCATCATCCTTTTTTTTTTTTTTTTCCCAGTGTGGGTAGGAAAAATTAGAAGAAAAATGAAAAATTTGTAACTGGAAATAATTTATCAAGAAAGACAGGTAAGGTCATTTTACCTTGCAGAACAGGTGTATAGTTTGGGAGGAACAGGGGCTTACTGTGGCCAATTTCTATAGATTTTTGTGGGTTTAACTTATGGGCATAACCCAGTTTAGAAAACTGGGAAACTGGAATCCAGTCTTCCCAACTTAGACACCTTATTTGCATTTAATTTTAGGCATTTCATGAACCTGTATTAGGCATGCTTCTCAGAGAGGTGCCAGAACATACAAAAAGCAAGCTGTCTTAGACTGTCATTGCAAGAGTTTCATATGAAAGAGTTTCAGAGATAAATAATCAAAAGACATGCCTGACCACTGGTAGATCAGTATATTTATAAGAAAACAGGTATTTTGAAACTGTATTATTGATGTGCTCAGGTGACAAAAGTTTGATAGCATGACTCTAATGAAGTATGGAGGGGCTTTTGAGTTTTGAAAGATGGACAAAGTATTTGAACAGAAACATTGCCACTGCTATTCTAAGAAACATAAATGCACACAGGTGCAGGGTGGAAAGCAAGTACATTTTGCCTAGGCAAGGCAATTGACAAATGCATCCTATTTATAGCTTATAAGCACTGAAGAAGCTTTATTATACTGACCCTGCTTATGCAAGCTGTAAATTAATGTTGGGTCAGCAGTTTTACTATAGAGCTCATTTTCCACTGTATAGTGGACAAATGTTGGTTCAGTACACTAGTAAGCGTACATCTTTTATTCTGTTTTTTTTTAAAGAAGGATGGAAACATATCTTAAATCTTTAATCATTACGAGATTGATCTGCTAAGTAAGATGGAAAAAGTTTATATTTCAAACTGGATGAAAAACATGATGGAAATGCAGTGGGAATGAAATTGAGGGAAATGCACAAGAAATGGCAGAGGTTTAAATGAATCAGTTCCTTTCATTAGATCTATTTGAATAATATGATATCTTTTCTCTTTTCCATTCATGATTAGAGCTGTGACAAGCTGAAGATTTATTATACATATTCATTATAGAAAAGGTTTGCTGAATAATTTAACATGAAGCACAATGTAAAACAGCAAGCTATGCTTCCTCATTATTGTTCTATATCCCAAAAAGGTATTTTGTGAAGCGTGAATGAGGTGTGTAGGAAGTAAGTACTTTAAGACTACTGACCTTGAAGTTCTACAATGAGCACTGAACAAACAAATTCAACCATTAAGGAGTAGAGATGGTACCAACTGTAGACCAGGATCTTACTACTCGATGTCAATGGTCGTACATGGACAACACAGCATGTGGTCTAGACATACACAAGCACATAGGATTTGAATACCCAGCATTTAACAGCCCTGCCATCTGGTGGAAACACCACTACTGTGTTTGGTATCCAGAGTCCTTAGTGTGCAAACAAAAAAAGCTGAAGTGTCAAATATAGTGACACACAAGGGAAGAGCATGTGCAAGAGAAGAGCAAGAGTTACCAAAGCTTTCACTGGAAATTACAATGGATTGCAGAAGTTTAACAAGATCCATATTTTCCACTGCAAAATATGGCAAGATGAATTAAAAAATATGTAATGAGCAGACCAGGGAAGAGATCCCAGAATTCATTCCTCCCACCTCACAGCCCAAACTACCACAGAAGGACCATAGAAGCAAGTCCTCTCCTCCTGGCACTAGGGATTTTGCTTGGTGACAGAGTACCAATGGCTCGGTTTCATCAGGACATGCATGGAAGGACTTCCACCATTACCTAGAGGTAAGAGCATATTGGGAAATCAGAAGATGTGGATTTGACTTCTCTCAGGTTAAAGAAGAGGCTGAGGTCCCACATTCTGAGAGGGTGCTATGACTGCAAGAGGTAGCCTCTAAATGCAAGGAAGACAGACTTTGGCTTCTGTGCTTTGTGCTGCCCATGGGTGATTAGTATGCTAAAGCAAATCCTTCAGGGGTGAGTCCCTTGTGGGTTTAGTGCACAAGAGATAGTGGAGATAAAGCATTTTGGTTGCATGCTGGTGGCCATGAAAATCTTAAGAGCACGATTTTGCCTGCTGAGTTATACATATTTAAGTATTGCATAGTCATTTGAGAAAGAGCCCCTGAATTACCTTCTGGATTTAAGCTTCTAAATTATGCCTAAATTTCACTTTATAGACTAAAGCAGACATCCTGGATTTCAACTCTGTTCTACAATCAAGATGAGTTGCTGTAAGTCAATAAATAATTTTAATTATAGTTTCATTTCTTAGGCTAATTAAAAATCAGCCAAGTTTTTAATTATGGAAAGTTGAAGGTTTCACATTTTTAAATCATTTGTGACAAAAGGTATGCCAGGTAAAAAAATTATCAGGCCCATTTAAAATTAATTTTGAGTTATTCAGAGATTTGGCTCTAGAATCTCAGGAAATTCATTCTGCATTAAAAAAAAACAAATGCTATAACTTCACAGAGAATATTTTGTAACATTAAGAGGTAACAAGGAGCTTGTGTTGTCTATTTGTATGTCAAATGGAACACACGCTTAATCATCAAGCTACGTCTGAAGAACTCTTTAAACTGTCAAACAGATTTATTAATTTGCATTAGTCCATTCTTTTTAGAATTTCACCTCACTTTGCCCTCTCCCTCATAAAATGTATGGTTTATTTTTTCAAAAATATGTGCATTGTACATTAGTAATTTTTTTTGGTCGTATGTGATCACACTAATTTTTCTACTACAATTCACCAGAACATGAAAATTAATATTTAATTACATTCTTGGATGCTAAAACATACAAACAATTTGCTTCTCATAAAAGACAGCTCTGCATGTTTTATTACAGTTCTGGTTTATTTGCTTCTGTAGGTTTTAGTAAAATTTCTGAATACAGGCATATAAGCACAACAAAAAAGCAGAATTTTAAAACACAACACAATTTAAGTACATTTGTAATGTATAAACCTGTGCTCCTGAGATCTGCATGAGGTAGCTAGTCTGTATTTTCACTTCAGAGAAATACTGCCAATTATTTTCTTCAATAGATTTCTGAATGTTGGTGCCTTAAAGTAACTGTCAGTAGATGCTCACAATTAATTATTACAGCATTATTATGTTTCTCTTCCGTTAGTGTTTTAAATTGCCAGTAAAGTTGAGGTCCCATCATGGAATCCATGGGGATTAAGTCTAGAACAGCAGTGATTTTACCTTTCTAAAATTTGATCAGGATCTAAAGAAGTGAATTATGCAATAAATGTAAAATGTTGATTATAAATTATTTTAGAAATGGAACTGCCTTGTCAAAACCCATGGTTTTAATCTTTTTCAATTTGTACGCTGCCTAAAAATATAAGCAGAACAAATTTCAGCCAATAGGTGATCCACAGTTATCCTTATCAGAGCCCCCAAAACCAGTTCACCGACCTCAGATGGTTGGACACCTGCATATCATCAGTTTTAAATACAGAAGTGATCAGGATGTTCTCACCTCTTGCTGCAAAATTAATGACACAATTTCATTCAGTAATCCTGGAAATAATTCTTACTGTAAGTGATTATTAGCAAGACCAACATGTTTTGATTCAACCTGTGACAGCTAGGCATCTCTCCCACAAAAACGCTTCTAACTCATTTTAAAGGCTTCATCCTTCTCCGTTTTCTTTTTGCATGTGATAAGCCCCTACACTGACTGCTTCCAAACACACACCACATCTTTTTTCCAAACTACAGGACAGGCATAATGCAACCTCTAAAAACCCTGACCTCTCAGGTTTAAATGGATATATTTGGGGGTTTTCCTATGTTACAAAGAAGCATAAATCTAAGCTGCTCTTCCACCAGCTCCTGAACCAAGAAAAAAAAATGTCAGGCTACATGTTATTTACCAATACAATATTCTTTTAAAGATGCAAGGGAAAAGCGCACAGTAAACCAAGGGTGTGTCAAGAAGCCTAGGCAAGCATTCAACATAAATCAAATCAATATGTAAATTTCTGTTTGACTGGGAAACCTGCATTGGCCATGTAAAACCCTAGCAGAGAATAGAAAGCAGCTATGATAAATGAGTTTACATGCTTCAAAATTCCAATTAAAAATCTTCAAATACAAGTGTACCACTGGGATCCAAGCTGATTCATGTTACTGTCTTCTGAATGCTGGGATATGCATTTATTTGCAAATGCACACTCACTCCTCATGATAACTTCATATGTAACATGCAACAATAAAGGAATTTTAGTTAATCGTTCTTTTAAACTGCTGATGGCTTTTCTTTGTGTTGGAGCAACCTTACAGTCTCCAAAGATAAAACTCTCCAAACAGATGGCAAATTGGTTTACTGGAAAGGGGAAACTGGCAAAAAAGACAGGTGCTGTGTCTGGTGCAGATCTGGAATTGCTCTGAAGGAGGTATGCCATCTTAAATAGTGTCAAACATAACTGATACATATATATTTCATTAGCTTTGTTCTAAACAAGAACATATTTTTTTCTTTCTTAGATAAAATTTCTTATTACACCAAAAGAATAAAGTACCTTTAGAGCAGGTATTCTATAGATGACACACCAAAGAGAGCTATAACTGCTGATATTTATTAATTGTGAATAATCTTAGAAGTAACTTCGTATTTAAAATAAAACTAAAAAGTGACTGCATTTCTGAATAACATCAGATCACCACAGAAATCAGGAATGAATGCTTTCCCTTCTGACAAGCATTTTTCATTTTGATGGACAGATTTAATTTTCTTCTAAACATCAGTCATGGGGCAATGCTGGAAGCAGGATATTCTGGTGTCAGACCACACTGGCAGAGGCATCTTTGATTGTCAAGCCCAGCCCTCTGCTACCACATGGCATTTGGAAAACTCCCAAGCTTCCTCCTAAAAAAAAAATAAAAATTCTACTCTTTGCCTTGGTTTGGCTTTTGAAAGCATTTTCCAGAAAAATATCTTATATTCTTCACCTGACTGCCATTCTATTTATGGTGTAAGTTGTCTGATTTTCTCTCAGGCTCTTGGGGTACTTATAGAAGCATAGAATGGGTTGGGTTGGAAGGGACCTTAAAGATCATCTAGTTCTGAACACCCTGCCATGGGCAGGGACACCTTCTGCTATACCAGGTTGCTCAAAGCCCCATCCAGCCTGGCCTAGAACACTGCCAGTGATGGGGCATCCACAGGTTCAGGCTGTTGCCACCACAGCCTGCCACTGGGTGGCTTGTTTCTGCGTTGTTTTTTGTGGTGTTTTTTTTTTTTTTTTTTCAAGGAATACATTTTAATTGCAAAAGCAGAGCTTGGTCTTCTGAACTTTTGTACTTTTCCTTCAGTGAAGTAGTAACATGCCTGGGTCCACAATATTCTCAATTAGTTAGGCTAATCATCTTCCATACACCTTGGTGGTATTTCAGCAATCAAAAAAGATATTATATCTTTTAAAAATAAAATCAGTACACAAATCCTGTGTATAGCTGTAATGTATAATCTGTCACAAAGTATTACAACAAGGCAGACAATGCTCAATAACATATGACAGCACACATATTGGGGACGGAGTACATGAGCTGGGAATACAGTTGGACAAGCCTATACGTTCAAAACAGGGTGTATTTTATTTACTTATTTGTATCTTGTGGGTTTCAATTATTTCTTTATTATTTGTTTTGACTGAGTTTCTTTCAACTCTGGATTTCTGATATCAACTACAAAATGATACCCTCTCAGAGTGATTAAAACATCAATGAATATTGAAATACACTGTTGGGTTTTTTTTGTCTAAGATAATATTTCTGTTTCCAAATAAAACAGACAACACGATGCTCTTTAAAACCTTCAGAGCATTCTCCTAATTCACCTCTGACACTTGACAAAAAGATTATATTCAGGACAGCAACTGTGCTTTTCTTAAGATAGAATTCTGAAAACAAATCATTATTGTAGCTGACATAACAATGCTGATACCATCTTGTGCATAATCTAATTAAAAAAAATCAGAAAAACCTGAATCATGTTTCTACTTAATTAATCACTGCTGCTTTGTGGTACTAATGGAGATATTTTACTTGATCAGTTAGAGATTAAGTTTGCCACAATGCTTTTGAAGCAATTACAAAAAACAATCATGAACTCATATTTGCTAATGTTGTGCATTATACTTTCTTGTTTAAAAACACTACATTTATGGTCAAACAATATTAGGGGCAAACACCAGTTAATTTATAGTCTGTTAGCAGTCTACATCTCTGCTGATCTACATGTATGTGGCAGTGTGTGACAGCAAGAGAATGAAGGGCAGAGGGAACAATTTATTCTCTCTCACACCAGGCACTTAAGACTAAGTTGTAAGTGAAATTACTCTCCAGGTGCTATCAGTGTGGTAGCAGACCACATTGCCATTGAACTCAAATTTGAACCAGCCTTTTGAGGTGACCCATTGGCGATTGCGGCACACCAAGGGGAATAACAACACACTTTAGCCAAACACCTGAGCTTAGGGAGTGCACAGAGATGCCCAGGAGGTTTTGTTCTCTTCTCCTCAACAATCGCATCCTTCTACCAGGAGAAAATGCAGTGAGGATGAAGCAGCGGAGGCAGAAAAGGGGCCTCAAATGTGTAGGGAGCTAACTGTTGCATCTCCTGGTTCAAAAAGGACAATCTCTTCATTTCCTTTTGGAGGTCACAGCAGTCCAATCTAGGACATACTTGCTGAAGAGAGGGGCATCACCCCTCCAAGACCCCTTGATACAGAAACACAAGATATGGCACCTATCAATGAATTTATGCTATGTGCTACCTTGTACCAGTTAATCTGTAAGGCACATGTTTTTGACTGTAAGTTTTCTAAAAATAAAGCTGCACTGTTTTATAAGACCTGATTTTTGTCTGTATGTGATATCACAAAGAGAATTCTTTGACACTACTGTCAAAACAATAAACAAAACACAATTCAGGGGAATATACTGATTCAGATCAATGACAGTATGTAACATTCTATGTTCTTTATGCTACGTGTTCACAATGGCATTAGTGATTTTTTTTATAACACCAGACTTGTTTGCTACATTTTGCTTCAAAGATGATCAAAGATTACTTCCAGCTAATAGGCAAACATGACAGACATTAATAACGACTCTTACAGCACAGTGGTTAGAACTGTGACAATGGGCGGGAGGTAGCAACACACTGCATTCTTGACTATTCAATTTTTAAACTTTTGAACAGTCAACAAAAGAAGTGATTGGCAACAAATATTAAAACAAGTAGGAACAAAGAAAGCCCTTGAAACTATAATGAATATGCAGCTCTTTCTGAGGGAAGAGGCTGCTGAAAGAAATGAGATTTCACAAAATAAGAGCTATGGCTTAAGCTGTAATGAAACAATAAATATATTCTTCACAAATATGAAAAGACATTTCCAACTTTTCATTGTCAGATGTTGGCTTCTATATTACTGTAATCTGCCAACCTGCACTACGGGATTTAAACAAAACAGAAGAGGTAAGTGCAGATTTTTTAATATAACAATATGTGAAAAAGTAACAATCATTTTTTATCTTACCTCTTTGAGCATGTGACAGATAAAACATGTTTCAAAAGAAGGCAACCAAAATCTTATGTCAGGGTGTGTACCATATGCCTCATATTACTTAACCTACTAGGATGCCAAGCTGCTCGCTTATTTGTGTCCTGTCCATAGGATGTAGTGACATCATCTGATTACAAATAAGCCAACATTCAGCCATTAGAAAGCCAAACTGCACAAAGAGGCTTTGCACCTTTTAGTGGGAAATTTTATACTTTTCGTCTCACATGCCTGAATCTTCAGACTATGGTTGCAAACAAACTTGCGTAGAAAACACCTTATAAATGTAAGTGGATTATTGCAATTATTTGTATTTTATGGAACATAAACCATCACATTGATATGTGTATGAAGATGAATATCATATTTGAAACATCACACAGACTTTTTTATTCCTTAGGCTTTTTACTCCACCATCATATGCTCTGCCTTGGTTTTTTTTTTTTTTTTTTAATCTTCCTTTTAGTTGCTTTCCTTGCATCTCCGTATTACTTTTTTTCTTCTCTCTGGCTCTGTCTTCTTTCCTCTTTCTAGATCCCCTGTTCCATTTTATTATTTTCCTTCTCTCTCAGTAATTTTATTCTTCCTCCAGCCTTACTTCTCTGAATCATCCTTTATCTGGTCCTGTTTCACTCCCCACTCGCGCCCCACACACACACTTATTATTACTCTAGTCTTTAATCTGCCCCTCACTTCCCATCTGTTCATTATCTCCAGGTTGTCCATCTCATCCTGTTACAAATAGACCATGTTGTTTCTTGCTGCCCACATAAGAAACAAGGAATGTTTTAGCTGGCCTGCTTTTCTTCATTCCACTCTTATCTTTCTCACACCACATCCCACTTTGTAGTGAATGTTAATAACAACTTTAAAATATTTTTTACCAAAAATATAAAAAAAAACAACAGTCCTGGATCTCTGAAAAAGAATACGACAGGGCCACTTAGCTTTTGTGTGAGGTGCTAAAGACACAGTCTTGCTTTTGCTGGCTTTATTTCATCTTGCTGCTGTTGCTGAAAGCAACTTACATATTTCAACAGCCTTTATGCTCTACCTGTTAAACATACACATAGGAGCTATCAAGAACAGTGAAAGAAATAAATACCGCCTAGAGAACAGAGCCCATTGGACTGACTAAGGAAGTGAGAAATGCTTAATGTAAAACAACAGAGAGATATTATTTTATAAAGCTTTTTTATTTTAGAGGAGGTTTTGGGCTTTAGACCCCTCTAAGCAATTTCAACATTTGTGGACTCTCCCATATGCTTTGGGATCACTTCCTGGAGTGTGACTGAACAGAAATGACAGTCATAATAAAATTTTCTACCTAAGCAAGATTATGACACAATTGACCAGAAGAAACATCACTTCTATTTTGGTGGTTTCTCTGTTTCTGGAAGGAAATGATGGGATAAGAATACAAGACTACAAACGAGAGCACATTTGGAAGTCCTTAACTGTTTAAACAAATCCCTGAAGCAACTTGAAACAATAAGCATTTAAATAATTTTATATTAGCAATTTTAAAACAAGTTTGGAAAACTAAGCTTCCTAGTTTTCTGCTGTTCAGGGAGCAAGAGGTGCAGCATAGCTATCAAAAGGTTTCTTGTAGAAGCTGAGTTAGATGCAGTCCTTGCAGCTGATGCATGTGAGCTGAGTTGCTAAGGGCAGAGTAGGGTATTTTGTAAGGGTAGATTAGGATATTGTTTCTTGCAGTACCATTTTAGCATACATTCGTAGTTTACATTTTGAAGACTTCCTTGACTAGAATGTTTTGGTTTACAAGGAAAGCACAAAATGTGTGGAGGCTGGTGTGCTGGGTTGGTGAAAATATGTGTAGCTCTTTGCTAACAAAACATTCTTAAAGATCTACTATCCAAACAAACTAAAGCTCATTAAACTTCTTGATAACTGGCTTGACCCCCAAATTCGTGATTCAGTTTTCATCTTCATTGAGGATGAAAATCATGCTAGTGTTGTATCAGATGTTAGGTTCTTTAAATTTTTATGTGGTACTTACAACCTACAGATTGTAATCACTTGGAAATCTACAACTGTACAGAGAAAGAACAATTTAAAGGAAAAAGTATTAGTTTAAAAAAAAAACATTTTTTGTTGTTCTTCTTACATGCAAGACCTTTTCCTTTTGATGTAAGTTCATTCATTTCTGATGAGACAAAAATCAAACTTTATATTTAATACTCTTCACCTTTTTGTTAGCAGGAGAAAGTAGAATTTTATTCCGTAAAATGAGAATGAGAATAAAATGAGAATTCCAAATGAGAAATATTTTTTTTTAGTATTTTAATTGTTTTTTCCTTTTTCATTCTGATAAAAACTGACCTTTAAGTCAGTTAAATGTAGCATTTATCACCAATGGTGAACCTTCCTTTTTCATTTTCAGCAGACTACTGTAGTGGTGATCAGTCAAGTTGCTGAGTTCATATCTGCATGATGTTTTATACTTCATAATTGCTTCCAAAACTGTTAAAAGTTTGATCTTTATGATCCATGTTGACAGATATTGAGCTGAAGACTTTGCTCTCTGAAGTGAGTAGGTTTGCAGTGTGCAGGAAGTATCTAGCAGTGATGCAGGTAGTTATGACCTGATGTGACAACATGACGGCATTGTAAGCCACAATGCCTAAACTTTAGTTGGATGTATATGAGCCTTGAGATCCTGTGACAAAAATGAAATTAACTCCTGTCACTTCAGTAAGGAACTAGCATATAGATAGTAAAAAAAACCCCAACCCATAAATATTAGAAGTCCCTGAAAGCTAATGAACCAGTTTCCTTTAGCTGAAATGACAGAGTGTATGCCAAGAAATTCAAGGACCCAGTCTATGTTTCTTTCCCAAAAGCAATTAGTTAATCAGTACCTTCACAGATCTGTGAAACAATCTGTCCTATTTCATACATCTGTGTAAAAATTACTTTGAAGTGATAAGGTTACTGGAGTGAAGCCTGGCAAAGCCTTTTACAATAGGGTTGTATGCCGTTAGAGTCACCAGCAGCATGCTAAGAAATGTCAACTGTAATTAAACCCAATCATTTTCAAATATATGCCATGCTTGGAAATGGTGAGGAATGCTTTTTACAGTAAGAATTCAGCCCTGTGAGCACAGACATAAGTTTTTTTTTTTTCTTTTTGTGGGAGGAAGATTTGTT